CTTGCTTGCCCCCCTCAATTTATCCATCCCTCAATTTATCCATCATATTCAACATCTACAAGGCACCAAACCTCCCCATATATATTGTATTCGATGTCCTCGGTCCCCATTCGGTCAACCTGACAATGTCAGATTCATTAATAGACACACAAAACTCATTTGCTTCCACTCCAAATCGAAGATTAAACTCCTTTGTACCAAACATTTTCGCATGCCGTTGAAACGGTGCGTCGACAGTAGAACGGGGGGCTGAAATGACCTGGGCAGATCACGCAGGTTCTGTTGTCTACCAGTTGCCGACGCGTGTGGCGCACACGTCGCCGGCGCGTGAGATTCACGCGCTGTCGGAGCGCTGCCCAGAAATGGCGCCACTTTCGCCGTGCTCGGAATAGCCCGTTCTGCCCTTCGGTCAGGTGCGTGAGGCCAGAAATTCGACGGAAGAGTGGGCTGTTGAAGAACTCGAGCGGCGGCGCTAGGGTTTGCACCTAAGGCCGCCGCCTGCTCGTGTCTTCCATGGCCGTATCAGCCATGGTTTGGTGGCGTGAGGCCGGTGGTTTGGTCGGAATCTATTGGGTTGGTGGGTGGGTAGGTGGTGGGCTTGGATGTAGATGTGGACAGGTGACTCTCCATGCGGGAGTATTCTAGGTCACGAGATTTTTTGATACAATTCTTTACAAATGGGTGGAGACGAGACTTGGACACAAACCCCACCACCTAATCTAAAACCACATAACCCAAAAGTTTAAACTGTTAAAGAGTTGAATTTAAAAAAAAGAAAGGTATTTGTAAACTTCAAGGTAGGGGAAATGAAATGCGCCGACTCTACAGAAGAAAACTTTTTCATTAATTTATAATTAAATTTAAATATATATTTTTTATTTATTCTTTAAAGGTATATTATATTAATAATACTGAATATTAAATTTATTTTTTTTATGTATAATAATTATTATTATTATTTATTTCATTAAGGTCTAAAATGTTTATTATTTTTTAAATATTTTTTGT